AGGAATATACTGAGCATACATGATATCGATATGCTAAGCTGAACAATGTATATAAGTTGAACAATACATAACTAAACAATGATATAATCTGAACAAGGATATATATATATATATATATATGTATTGAATTTTTTGTTTAACTAATTGGGTAAGCGATTATTTAGATTAAATTTTCAACTTAAATATTTTTGGATAATTGACAGGTTTAAGGGGATTGACAAGGAGTTGGACGTGGTTAGTTTTTCATCAAAGAAACTGATAGATATGGGGTTTAAATTCAAGTATAATTTGGAGGACATGTATAAAGGGGCCATTGAGATTGCACACAAAAGGGATTTCTTCCTAATTCTACCCAAAATCCAGCTGATAAAGGAAATATGAATGAGAATTCATAATTCAATAAATAAAAGTTACTTGTATAAAAAAGTAGAGGATAAAAAAATTAAGCTACCAACAAATTTATTGTGTATGTTTGGGACCATAAATACATTTAGCCTTTAAATATCCCCTAAGGATTTTGTCGTTAACAGACGAATATTATTATTTTAATACCTTTTATAATATTAGCAGCTTGATATCTTTTATTAGCTATCGAATAAAACTATGTTAAACCTAAATACATGTCATCATTCAACCATGTTGAATTGTTTAAATACTAATCATTATTGTCATCTTTTTGAAATATCATAATCTAATTAAGTATCATTGTGCCTTTTCCAGCGTATTTTCCATTTTCATTCCCATATTTGAATTTTCTTTATAGTGCTTAAACAAATTGACCCACCACCCACGCGGGAAGAAAGAAAAAATAGTAGTAATACAAAATGAACAAATAAATAAATAAAATAACATCCTTTATTAGGACCCACTAACTAACAAGATTGACCATTGCCATCCATGATGCTAGGAAAAGTCATGCCTAATATATATTTTTATTATTATCATTTTAATTTATACGACATTTTTTCTACTCTAAAAATATTTAACATTATTTTGCATTCATATAAATATTAGGGCAAACTATTAATTCAAATTAAATGCTATAATCATAATTTCATTTAATTGTAACCCGTAGCAAACAGTTGTCATTCGCCTCTCTCCCCAGCGAATCTCGCTCGCCACTCTCCCTGATCTCGTTGGCCACTCTCCCTCACCTCTTTCACTTTATACAAATACAAATGTATAAATTGCGTTTGTGTTTGTATAAAGCGAGAGAAAACTGCATATACAAATACAAATAAATATATTTTCGTCCTATACACTTATAATTATACAAATACAGATCTTTCCTCCCAGTTTTTTTTTGCTTTTCTCGCTTTACACAAACACAAATTATACAAATTACAATGTAAAATTTGTGTTGTATAAAGCGAGAGAAAGATTTGATATACAAATATTTTATTTCAATTGTATACAAATTCAAATTTTATGCAGATATACAAACACAATCATTAATACATATACATAGTAGTTGCATATATACAATTGAATTGAGAGGCTGTTAGCGATTTATACAAACGAGAGGCTGCCATCGATTTATATAAATGAGAGGCAGCTAACGATTTATACAAATGAGAGGCCATCAACGATTTATACAAATCTGATGCTCCATAGCAAACATAAAGTTTGTTATGGAGTGCAATTATATAAATTATAGTTATAACATACAAATATGATTTTTATGTTTGCTAAACCTAAAATTTACTCAAAATATTATGTGTTTTTTTAAAGAATTTTAATTTGTTAAAAGTGTTCACAGTTAAACCTTGATCTATGTTTCCCCTCTTTTTAACCATTGTTTAAATATTCTCTTCCGTCATTAAACTAATACAATTATGTTTTATAAGTTTAATCTAATTTATATATATTATAGGGATAAGGGTCTGAAAAATACCTTAACTTTGGTTGGATTTGCTGTTGCGATACTAAACTTTCATGAGAACCTATTACCTCCCTAGACTAATTAATACCGTATTTTAAACATATATATTTACCCACGTGGACATAAAAAATAATGCAAAATTATAAATAGTAATGTGTCCATGTGGGCACATATATACCTTTAAAATACACTATTAAATAGTTCAGGGGGTGAAAAATACGGTATTAAATAGTCTAAGGAGGCAATAACAACAACAAATCCGACCAAAGTTGGGATATTTTTCAGACCCTTATCCCTATATTATATTATATTATATTAGAGATAAGTGAAGAAATATCAATGTAATAGTAATTAAAAATTAGTTAGATAGATAAATCATCTCATGAAAATTAAATTTTAAAAATAATCTGAATGTCAAAAAAGTTGTATAAAAGTAATTTTATGACTTTCATAAAAGAAATGAATATTACAGAAATTAAAATGAAAGAAGTAATAACATCAATGGAAAAAAAGTTAAAAAAATATATATATTTTTTTGGAACCCCTGCTACAACCTCTGCCTGCCATGTAGGGGTGCAAAAACCGAATCGACCGATAAATCGAACCAAAAAAAATGTTACTCTCTCCGTCCCATTTTATGTGGCAACATTTGACCGGGCACGGAGTTTAAGAAATAAATGAAGACTTTGAAATGTTTACCAAATTGCCCTTTAAAAAGTACACTCACTTTTCTCTCTCTTCATAAATGTATTGGAGTGTTATTTTAAGATTAAGTGGGACCAACAAGGGTAAAAGAGGAATTGCACCTTTAAATACTTACCATATAAGGAAAGTGACATTCTTTTTGGGACTGACCAAAAAGGAAATGTTGCCACATAAAATGGGACGGAGGGAGTATTGGTTTATTGTTATTGAGTTATTGGGTTAGCGGTTTTTTAATGGTTTTATAAAAAAAATTTATCAAGTTATTAGTTCGGTATTAATTTTCAATATTGGGTTATTGGGTAAATCGATAACCCATTAAGAATTAAGACTACAGTAATTTACTACTTTTACATATACATACATATTAGTAAATATTAATCTCAATATATTAATAGTTATGTTTTTGTCATTTAGCCATCAATTCATACTTCACTGTGACTTTGAGTTCACAACTTTACATTATACAAATTGTCAAGACCTAAAGTAAGAACCATATTCCTCTTGATTTCTCTTTGTGTTACACATGTATAGTTCTTTTTCATGTTTGTTATTATTATTTCTATTTTGTGAGCTTTTGTAAAGTTAAATTATAGTCTTGTCATGTCAAATTTATTAGGGAAGTAATATATTTGGTTTATAAGCATTTTTTTTTATTGATTAAACCGAAAATTGAATCGTTAAGGACCAAAACCGATAAATTGAAAATCGATAAAAATTATCTTATTGGTTTGTTATTGGTTTAGCGTATTTAAAAATCAAAAACCGATAATACATAAAACTAAACCAAACCGACCGATGCACACCCCTATGCCATCACAACCACTGTAATAGCTTGTAAACCACACATGAGATGTAGACCACACTAGGCAATGCCAATCCCTATGAGACAGATTCGACTCAAGGGGATGATCTCGGGTCATCCGTGTGGATAACTACCCTTCAAACCAACTGAGTCATCTCGAAGGACTTAAAAATATTTTTAAATCATGTGAAATTGAATAAAAATACTCTCTATTTTGAGTGCATCAACATCCACATTAAATTTTCCTAAATATTGTAATAAATTAAATTAAAGAAAATAATAGTGAGGGAGTTCCTACTCCCAAGGTCCAAAATCTAGTAAGCTTCGCGTAAACGTGAAGGGAAAAAACATTTGGTGGAAATACAACTAATTAAAAAAATAAAAATTGGTTGAAGGAACTTGCAATACATAAACATTGAAAATTCTCTCTTCAACTTGGTGGCGGCGGCGGCGAAGGATACGGCGGAGTTGGTGGTGCTACTGGTGGTTGCCGGTTACGTAGCAACTCTTTATTAAGGGAAAAAATCTAATGTTTACCCACCAGATTTTCGCCGGAGAAGATGGCCGGAGTAGCCGTGTTGATCTGATCTGATTCTACCGATTTTTTGACGCAAATATTGTATTTGTTCATACCCAATTTTCAGGTTTATTTCTTCTCTTTCATCTATTTTAGACCCATTTTTTGGTTTTTATTTTTTGGGTTTTTCCTGTTTTCTCTATGATTTTTTTCCCTTCAGATTTGGAAGTTCCCATTTCTAGCAAATATTAATGTTTAGCTTTGTTTTCTTCACACCCACCCTTAATTTATTCTAATTTTGAACCAATCTATTTTGGGGTTTTCTTGTTTTCCAGATTTAGAAGTTCTTATTTTTTTTTCCGTCTATTTTCTTTTCATGTCAAAAATCCGAGCTCTATCTTTCTATTCCTTTTTTTGGTCTTAATTTACCTTTTTCTGAAACGGGTATGTTAATTGCGGGTGTATTTTTGTTGCTCAATTTTGGAGCTGACAATTGATTTCTAATAAAGTTATGTTTTTTAAAAATAAAGTCTTGAGCTGTGCTAGAAATTGTGCAAATATCAATAGGTCTTTATGAAGGTGGGTATTCTAAGTTGTGGATGTATTATTGTTGCTTAAATGGGAATAGTGGATTCCTAATAAAGTTTTCATTTTGCAAATATCTATGTTTAGTTTCATCTTTAATGTAATGATTTGGACTCAAATAGCGCGAAATGGTTGCAGAGGATTCATATAGCCGGCCTTGACTTTGTTTGGAATTAAGGCGTAATGGATGATGGAGTGACACAATATAACACATCTCTAGCTTACGAGGGCATGACTCTAAATAGGAAGATTTGGAGGTTGAGTATTAGGATAGGAAGGTAATAGGTAGCCGAGCATTGTAGTATTAGTTAGTATATGTGTACTATCTTATTCTCCTAATCTTCACTAACATCTGTTGTTTTGTTTGTTCTGTTTATCTTGCTATTTTGCTGCCGATTTATTTTTCTTTCTGTCATGCTTTGATTACAATATTTTGAGCCGAGGTCTATCGGAAACAACCTCTCTACCCCACAGAGATAGGGGTAAGGTTTGTGTATATTCTAGCCTCCCTAGACCTACTTTGTGGGATTACACTGGATATGTTGTTGTTTGCTATTGATGATTGATTGACACAGACTAAACTATGTAGTGTTAGATCTGCTTGTTAAAAACAGTGTATGTAGTCACAAAAAATGGAAAATTCTTGAAAGTTCTTTTTCATAGACAGAAATTTGATCTTTGAACTATGGCTCTTCGTATTTACTTTCAAATGTTTTTTAATTCTTCTAAATTCCTTGCCATCTCATTGTAGGAAAGGTCTTGTTGATGTGATCAATAGAGATGTCATTCAAGAGCATTGTCCGAGAGCTGAAGGAAATGAAAAATGGGATAGGGAGTATATCAAGGAGAAGAGAAGTAGAAGGAAGGCATTGGCGAAACAGAACTCGGTCACATATAGCTCCTGATGTGGTTCCTTTTGATCCCAATCAACAAGGGCAATGGGCAAATATACCACCAGAACTGCTTTTGGATATTGTCCACAGGGTTGAAGAGAGTGAGACATCATTTCCTGCTCGGACAGCAGTAGTCTATTGTGCATCTGTTTGCAAGTCGTGGAGGGAAGTTACGAAAGAGATTGTCAAGACTCCTGAAGAATGTGGTAGGCTTACATTCCCCATTTCACTAAAGCAGGTATTCTCCTTTCTATCTGTTCGATTATTATCTTATACTTCGTTATCACCAATAAAGAAGAAAAAACTGAGAGACAATTGTTTTTCCCTTTGTGCTTTGGACCAGCCAGGTCCCCGTGAATCCCCAATTCATTGCTTTATCAAACGGGACATAGCTAATTCAGTTTTTCGCCTCTACTTTGGTTTGACTCCATGTAAGTCGCACTTTGCTGCTGACCTTGCACTTTTTCTTCTCGATACTTGAATTGGTTCATATAAAATTGTTGGGCACCTTGGAATCAGCTTTAAGATGTATATTACATATTTGATCATGAGTGAAGTTCATTCTCTAAATTTATACGGTTGCTCTTTTCATCTTTTGACCCTTTAATTATAGAATGGAGATGATTTTACACATTGTGTTTCGTTTGGTATCAACTTCAATATCTACCTTGTTTATTTGGTCGGATGCCGCACCCGTGTCGAATTCTCCTAAAATACACTACTTTTGGAGATGTCACCTGCTGACATTTTAGAGTCAGAGCAACATAACTTCAAGTTATATATACTGGACCACACCGGAACTGCAAAACTTTGTATTGCTTCTTAGTGTTGTGGTTTAGAAGGGGAGTCTTGGCGTAACTGGTAAAGTTTCTTCCATGTGATCAGGAGGTCACTAGTTCGAGCTGTCGAAACAGTCTCTTGCAAAAACGCAGGGTAAGACTGCGTATAATAGACCCTTGTGGTCCGGCCCTTCACCGGACCTCGCACATAGCGATAGCTTAGTGCACTGGGCTGCCCCTTTTTTTAAGGTGTTGTAGTTTAATCTTTTGGCAATGAAAACTGAAAAGTACAAATCTGATTTTCTACCTCATGACAGCTGAGGATGTGAGTGATAAACTATTGCTGGCTGCCAAAAGGATCAGAAGGGCAACAAGCACAGACTTCGTAATTTCATTGGTTTCAGATGATTTTTCTCGAGCTAGCAGTACATATGTCGGCAAACTGAGGTAAGTTCCTGCGAACTACTTATTTTTCTATAGCTAAACCATCATCAATGTCCTTCGTGATGTCAAAAAATGGAAAGGTTCTATTACCTTACATTCTGTTTCAATAACTTTATAAACTTTGATCAGATCCAACTTTCTTGGAACCAAGTTCACCATATATGATAGCCAACCTCCAAGTGATGTAGCGATTCAACATCGTGGTAGACTTAGTCGACGATTCAGTGCTAAGCAAGTATCCCCAACAGTATCTGCATGCAACTACAGTATAGCCACCGTTTCCTATGAACTCAATGTTCTCCGTACAAGGGGACCTAGGAGAATGCATTGTGCCATGCATTCCATCCCTTTCTCCTCTATCCAAGAGGGAGGCAGTGCTCCAACGCCTACATCATTCCCACAATCTTTTGATGAGAGGCCTTCAAAAGCAAAAGTGCCAGCTGTAAATATCAGCTCATCGGTGTCAGTGCCTTCTCGAGAGCCACTTGTGCTTAAAAACAAGGCCCCTCGATGGCATGAACAATTGCAGTGCTGGTGCCTAAATTTCAAAGGCCGCGTTACAGTGGCATCCGTGAAAAACTTTCAGCTAGCGGCAGCAGTTGATCCATCTCACAATATACCCGCTGCAGTACAAGAAACAACAATTTTGCAATTTGGGAAAATTGGAAAAGATATCTTCACCATGGATTACTGCTACCCGCTCTCTGCCTTTCAAGCTTTTGCAATATGCTTGAGCAGCTTTGACACAAAACCAGCGTGTGAATGATTTCGTGCTCAGATTGTAAATCATGATGTTATGAATTAATGTTTAGTCAATCTGAGAAGTTCTAAATGCAAGGCAATATTTATCAATGAGAATATCAGTATGTAACTAATATTAACTGCTGCTAAGATAGAAGCAACTGTTTTGTGAGTTCTATGATTCAATACTAAATATCTATTTAGATGGGAAATGATCTAAATTCAGGTCAAACCACTCAACATCGAGCGGGTTGACCCAGGAAGAGATCCGAATAAACCTTCCAACAAGCAAAATAGAAGTTGACCATAAGGACATAATTTTTTTCTAAATGATAGATACACTATTCTGTTGTATAATTCACCCTAGAGATAGTCAAAAGCTATACGATGATAAATTAAAAATACTGAAAAGAGACAAAGTTAAATAGTGCGGCAATACATATAAACGGTAAGAATTTTTTCAATATGACTTCTCCAGTAGAAAAATATCAGATACATAAAACTCTCTTAATATATAGATTTAAACAAAATAACAACTCCACCCCCCAAAAAACTCACTTATTGCGTGAAAATTTCATACTATTTCACTACTAGACTGTAAGTCTTGATGATTATTGAGCGTCTCAGTTAAATCATCGATCCGAGCATATGGCAATGGCGATTCGCGAATACTCGAACGACACATGGGACATGTATTATTTTCTTGTAACCAAGGCCTAACACAAGCATAATGAAACCTATGGCAACAAACAGGAAGAATCAAAACCATCTCCCCATGTTTAATTTCTTCTATACAAATAGAACAATCACTATTTTTTCCTTTAATTGCTGGAGTCGTTATTCCTTCCTCTGAAATATCGATCACTACTTCAATAATTGTTTCTCCTTTTGTTGTCACTACTTCTGGCACAAATTCCTCAACATTATGCAAACGTTGTTGTTGTGTTACTCTATAACACAACAACATTTTCGTCCATTTGTAGAAAAATATCAAAAGAAAAAATATGAGTATTGCAATCAGTACGTAATTATTAGTAGTCTTTGAGGAAAACAACATATTTTTTTTGTGTGTGTTGGTGAAGACTTGAAGGTTATAGATCAATGAGTTTATTAAAATCACATGTTTAGATGTATTTATAATAATATAAGTTGTTGATTTAAAATCCATATAGGAATCGAAGTGATTAAATATGGAAACCTTATAGGAGTATAATTAACCTATTATGGAAATAATCCATGTCCTAATTAATTAAATCCTAAATCATTTCGGAATAAACTACCTATTATTTTCTTTTGATTTAAGTAAATTACTAAATTAGGTATACGTGAAGAATCCAAAAATTTGATCAAGACCGCCATTATTACCAATCACCGGATTTTTTTAATTACTAAATATTAATCCCTTCATTCCAAAATAAGTAAATTTTTAGGAGTGTGACGTACTTTTTGAGATCATTAGTTAATGATATTAATTACTAAAAGATAATTTATCAACATTACCCTTTTTTTTTTTTTTTTCCAAACTTCTATTAAAACTAGACATCATTTCCATTAAAAGAGAAGGACAATTTTGGAAAAAAATTAATTAACATATTTTTGGACTTCAAAATTTTCATTTATTTTGGAACATAAAAAAAGTTGGGAAAAATATTTTTCTAGTCCCTTTTTTACACGTAAAAAATCTAAAAGTATCATTACATATATTCAAATGGTGTGTTGATAAAAAATCTCATTTCTTCGCAAAAAAAGAAAGAAGTCAAAAATTCATTTATTTTTCACATCACATTAAAGTTGAAAATTTTCCAATTTCCCATATGGGATGGAGTATAAGACAATTAGTACTATTTATTTTCTTTATTTTTTCATTAGGAGGAAATATTCAATAACTGCATTTTGCTTATGATCAGCATTTGTATTACCAGTCCTAATTAATTAATTACTATTCATTAGAGGTGATCAGAGATGGGAAGATCAGATAAGGATAGAGATCTGGAACGTCTGATGCCGGTGGGAACCTTAGCCGTTGATGTAACAAAAATCAACGGCTCCAAATCTTCAGATCAATCTCCCTCGCCTTCTTCGCCTTCCTCTCATCACTCCGCCAAAGAGGTCTTTTCTCTCTATCTCTTTATGTATCGTACACGGATTTAGAATTAAAATTTTATGGATTCAAATATATTACTTATTGCAATTTTAATAAGTTTTTACACAAATTTAAATTTTGCATCAAAAATACTGAGTTCAAATAAGGTTGATATGCAACTCTACAATCTACATCCACCCTATCTATCGCATTATACATGTGGCATGTGGGAAGCTTAGGTTGCATGAGAAATTATAAGGTTAAAAGGCGAATTCAATATTTAAATATTAGGGGAAAAAATTGGTTCAATTTTGTGCTCTTTAGCACTAAATTGATTGTATAATTTAGATTATGGGTTTAGAATTTAACATGAATTTTAGTAGTAATTTTTCACATATAGACTTATATTACAAGACCAAAAAACTATTTATACTTTACCTAACATGTTAAAATATTGAATTCAGTTCAACCTGTAGTTAAAGCTACCACTATAGAGCTTGAAATTTGGGACGAAGAAAAAAAAAAGGAGCACTTGAATTAACATATCATGATAAATAGGATTTAACTTATAGACCGTCGTAGTTTAACATGTTATAATTTTCTCGTTTTAGAGGTTACTAATTTCACTTTATTTTTTGAATGATTATTTGTAGTTATTTTTTAAGTGACTTGATAATATAAAGCATTGATCTTTAGTTAAAGTGAGTTCAGCTAATTTTTTGTTTAGTTTTCACCCTTGTAGGCATTTGGCAAACATATTCATAGCTGGCTTTCAAAAAAATTTGTGAGCGGATGGTTAGTTTCCTTCTTATCTAAATTCTTTTTTATTTTATAATTTGTTGTATTAAACTGTGTTCAAGTAAATAAGACAATATAAGTAAACTGAAAAACAGAAATAAAAACTTTTATTAAGAAAAGTATTTATGACCACAGAATTCATAATGTGTTGTTAAGAAATTTAATTCCCTTGAGGTGATGGATTACTTTCTCTCGAGTCTCGAGATAAAACAGATATACCAATTGCAGAAGTAGCAGTACCTCAAATATCCTATGCCAAACGTCATATTTATGAGATGATTAACTCTATCTTATGGTTTTACTCAAAGAGAAAGAAAACATCTTTGTTATTGATGTGATTCTCACAATGTTTTGCAGTGTCATATTATTTCCCATAGCCATAACTTTCTACCTTACTTGGAAACTCATTAATTTTGTGGATGGCTTCTTTTCTCCAATCTATAATCATCTTGGGATCGATGTATTCGGTCAGTATATTAATTTCCTCTTTTTTTTATACTTCACTTCATTCTAATTTATGTTATGTAGTTTGATTTAGCATGAACTTTAATAAAAATTATGAAGACCTTTTGAAATGTGTAGTCTTAGTTAATATTGTCATAACATTTGTGTGGCTATAAAAACTTCACAACAAGTATAAAATGAGGATTTAAATTTGAATTTCTTTGGAATAACTGATAAGAAAATAACGACACATACCACCCAAACTTGTGATCTAGTGGTCAATGTAGTGAGTTGAAAACCATGAGGTCTCAGGTTCAGTTCCTCGTAGAGGTAACAACACTAGGTGATTTCTTCCCATCTGTCCTAGCACAAAATTATTGGGTATCTAGTGTTGGTGAAAAATGATAGATATGTCATGGAATTAGTTGAGGAGCTACCTGATGCCTATTGGTGGGAGGTGAGATGACAGGTATTTCGTGGAATTGCTTGTTTTTATGAACAATTATTTATGTCACTCATGACTATATCTCTTACAATTCACAGGTCTTGGATTTGTGACATCCTTAATTTTCATATTCTTGGTTGGAGTGTCCATGTCCTCATGGTTAGGTGCATCTCTTCTTAGCTTAGGAGAATGGATCATCAAAAAAATGCCCCTCATGAGTTATATCTATACTGCCTCCAAACAAATTAGTAGTGCAATTTCACCAGGTAACAAATTACACCTTTTCTATATTTCAAAATTGATTCTCATCATTACTAACACAGTCTTGATCTCCTATCGAGCTACGTTATTATTATTTTCAGATGAGGATTCACATGCCTTTAAAGAAGTGGCAATTATAAGGCATCCGCGCCTTGGTGAATACGCGTTTGGTTTCATTACTTCAACCATTATTCTTCGTAAAAGCACAGGTGCGGAGGAACTCTGTTGTGTTTATGTGCCTACTAATCACCTTTACCTTGGAGATGTATTCCTTATCAATTCTAAGGACATTATGAGGCCCAATCTCTCTGTTAGAGAAGGAATAGGTAAGAGTTTAAACTTCAACTTCCATAGGTATTTACGCTTTCTTTGGTACGATAGAAGTCTTTTTTCATGGCATACCTTTTTGAAAGAAGAAACAACATATGTTCAATATTAATAAATAATATAGAAAATGACTTCAGTCGTACCAAAACAATTATGACTTTCTCTTCTCCCGAGGATGATATAGTTATAAAGTGTCTGATTTTTCGTCTAAATGTTGCAGAAATTGTCATCTCAGGAGGCATGTCTGTACCCCAAATATTGACTATAGTAGATAAGCAATCTATTCTATCTCCAAGAGTTGGAAAATTTGATGTTCCTCAGGTTTAATGATCATAATGTTTGATCTTCATTATTCATTTCAAATATTGGAATTGGGGAAAATGCACTTTACTGTTAATATTAGGGGAAGACAGAATTTGAAGTTTGTGACTTCGTATTTTTATTTCATTTACGTCATTGGGCTCTAAATCAATAATTTGTACATATTAGCTCAATGGATTACGTAAGGCAATACAAGGTTTGAATCAAAGTTACTGTGTTCGCGGATCTGCTACCGAGTGGATAATTCTTGTAGCTCTGCTTTCCTTGACACCCTTGTGAACAATGGTAAATGTGGGAGAAAAATTATTTTGTAATACTAACTAGCCTTAGCCTATGAATGAGTTAGAAATATAACAACTGGTTAGGATTTTAGTTTGCTAAATCTTGTCCCTTTCTTCAAATTAATATATAATTCCTTTAATAATATTTAACGGTACTGAGTCTGTGACGGACGTAAACATAGTGTATTGAACAATGATGAATCATATTGTCGATTTTAATTTATACTTGGATTGACGAAAGTCTGGAAATCAAATGAATGACCTTGACTCTAATACCACTTGTTAAAATCAAACGATTATCATAATGCCAAAAACATAATTAATGGCAAGGATACGCCAATTTTCTTAACCAAACCCATCGAACAAACATGTTCTATTCATGACTTTGACTCGACCAATCCTATCTCATCGCGATTGAAATAGTAGAACGTCGTATGAAAGCTAATAATTACGAATTATGATAATGATATATAAATCAAACGAAAAAGAAAATGAAGGGGTCAGTCATTTCACATACGTTTTTCTGACCCCAAAAAGTTATAAACTTTTTTGGACCATGCTATTATATGCTTTAATTATACGCTCCTATCTCGAGTGCTACAAGAGCTATATCCTTGGAATATTTGAAATTTGGAAGCTAAGGGATATATATAAATCTTCAAACTTGAAATCATATCTCCCAAGTTGATTAAGATTTGACATGGAAAGGCCCCTTTTGGGCCAAAATTTTCCACTATTTTTTACTTTGTATTTTCTTGACATTTCTTTTGATACTTCCCCATAGGATCCATATGATCATTGGATGGCATAAATCTTTATCCAAAATTAAGGATGTGATATTTCCTCCCAAGTTGATCAATATGCTTGTTTTTTCTTTTCTCTTCATATTACTATATAATGAGTGTACACTATCTAATTAATCTTTAAACATCGTCAATAATTTTGTCTTCTCCATATTACTATAGTGAATATACGATACAATATCTAAGTCATTTTTAAATATCATCGTATAATTATGTCTTCTCCATATATATTATTACTACAGTGTAATATACAATATCTTATTGTGGAATCGGCAATCAAGATCTAATTGACTTCTCCCCCACCCCACCCACACACAAATTATATTCTCACAAATTGCTGGAACACGGTTTGTGTGTGGACGAAATGTGTAAATACAGAATATTGTGCTGATTGTTGAGGACAAAAAATAATTATATTGAGCTAGTAATTAGATTTGTCACACCACCAATTTAAGTTCTTCAACTTTATAATCTATGTGAAAACAAAATAAAATTGTGGCGATTAGAGTTTAAGTTATATATATCATCAACAAGAATAAATATAATTTTTTGGTTTAGATTTATTTGAATTCATAATTTTTTATATGAAATTTATATATAAGTAAATATTTTAAGAAATATTATCTATTTAGCTTTGAACTCATAATTTTAATATTAGAGCGAATTCAATACTGAAAATCTTAAAAGTTGAACTCATTCTGCTTAGATCATTAGTATGATTTTTCTTACACCATATATCAAGGCATCTTGTACTTGTCATTGTAGGTAAGTTGTCTATTTGCAAGATTATAAATCTATTGTTTTAAAAAGACTGGCGTGTAAATATCTTTTAAATAATTTGATAATATTTTTATTATTATATACTGATAAGTGATAACATATACTATAATTTAAGTTCAACCACACTTTTATTGGCATCTAATATGATGAAAAGATTTCATTTCACATCATTGAATAATTTTTTTCCAATGAAAACGTATAATAATATTGCATCATTTGCATGCCTGAATATTTTTCGATGTTACTTCATTGGTTTTGCCTCTCTTTTTATGGGCCTTTTATTTAGTTCTTAAATTAGAAATTGAGTGAATATAGTGCTACCAACACTACTGTCTAGTTTTAGGTAGTTTCAACCTAAGTTTTTTCCTGTTTTGACTCTTTATTTTTGGTGGCGCATTTGTGTTGATAGATGATGAATGTGGCTGTGGTATGAGATTCGAATAGAACTTGGTCAATTGAAATTTAAATACTTTGATCATAATCGACAGACATTCGGAAATAATACAATGATTTTTGTAATTTGTTAAATTAGGTCTTAGGCCTAATTAACTCACACCCCAAAAGCTAGCTCAAAGGGATGAGGATTGCTCAAGCTTTATAAGGAGTCCACTCATCTCATTAACCACTGATGTGAGACTTTTGTCATTCTTTAACACCCCACCTCACGCCCAATGCTTAGCATCTGGTGCGTGAACAATTTTGATTTTGGGGGTCCCAAACATCGGGTGAGACGGGCCCTGCCTGATACCATGTTAAATTAGGTCTTAGGCCTAATTAACTCACACCCCAAAAGCTAGCTCAAAGGGATGAGGATTGCTCAAGCTTTATAAGGAGTCCACTCATCTCATTAACCACTGATGTGAGACTTTTGTCATTCTTTAACACCCCACCTCACGCCCAATGCTTAGCATCTGGTGCGTGAACAATTTTGATTTTGGGGGTCCCAAACATCGGGTGAGACGGGCCCTGCCTGATACCATGTTAAATTAGGTCTTAGGCCTAATTAACTCACACCCCAAAAGCTAGCTCAAAGGGATGAGGATTGCTCAAGCCTTATAAGGAGTCCACCTATCTCATTAACCACCGATGTGAGACTTTTGTCATTCTTTAACATAATTAATAATAAAAGTTAAGGTCAAATTCCTCATGATATTTTATCCTTACAAATTTGAAGATTTAATTTGAGGATCACCCCAAAGTAGGTTCATCTAAAGGAAAACTAAATGCTATCTCGATTTGCTCAGATAAAAAGAAGATAATTAGGATTGGACTTTTTATCCTAAGTTTCCTTAGAAAAAGTATTAGTACAAGCTTTATTCAAAATACAAGGGGCTAGCTCTATAGATAAGATCGAATATAGAGTATGTTATCTTGTGTATTGTCAAGGTAGCCTTATAAGGCAATATATAACAAAGTTCATATGATACGTGTGTTTTTAAATTCGATGATGTAGCTCAAAAATAAGTATGTGAGGTCTATTAAGCCAAAACAGATAATACGTACGTATTATAATGAACTTGGATCATGATCATACAAAGTATAAACCAAATAAGACAAGTAGGTCTTATTTATTTGAGCAACTTTCACATATAGCAATCATAAAAATTATATTTGTATGTTATAGCTATAGTTTGCATAATTGCACTCCATAGCAAATTTTATGTTTGCTATGGAGTTTTTGATTTGTATAATTTGCTACAAACATCCAATTTTATACAAATTGTTCAATTTTGTATAAATTCATTTCTACATTGTAATTTGTATAATAAGATATGTATTTGTATAATTATAAGTGTATAAGATGAAATTATATGTATTTGATTTGTATTTGTATATACACTTTTCTCTTGCTTTATACAAACAAAAATGCATTTTATACATTTTATATCGAAATGTATAAAATCGCTAATTGTATACTGAAAATGACTAATTGTATATCGAATTAGATGGCAAAAGAAGGGGATGTTTGCTGCGAATTATAATTAAAATAAACTATGGTTATAGCATTTAATTTGAATTAATAGTTTGCTATTTCATACAATTTTCCCTATTTAGTTTGATATATTAGATGTAATAATCATGATATAAATATGGTCTATCTAGTTTTAAATTTTTATTATTTTGAATAATGCATAGCTAATTCTAGTATAATTAATTTAGTATGTAATTGATGTGTTATTTTATACCTAATATAACATGAAATAACAACACATTAATACAAGAATTAAATACCAAAAAACAAAACAATTTATTATATTTTCCCCAAATTCATCATCACCCCCCTTTTAATTATATTAATATTGAAATTAATGTGAATATAGAATATGCTGATTGTGATAGTAGGAAGCAAAAAAGTTTCAAGCCGTAATTAGATATTTTAGACCCACCACTAACATCTTTTGTCGAAGTACTTAATTAAGACACTCGAAGTGACAAGCAAAACAAAAATGTACGACGATTAGTAGGAAACTAAACTTTATGTGAAGAATAATGATTATTATATCTCCATTTTCCTTTTTAATTCGAAACAAAAAGAATAAAGCTTCAGATATTCTTGTGTGAAGTCAGAATTTTCATTAAGAATTTAAAAAATCTGAAGAAAATATACTAAGAAGTCAAAATGATTCAACGTCAATAAATTAAAAAAATAATTTTAGTCTTATACATATACATAACTACAATTTTTCATATCGAACAACATCAGATAAATCCCCTCGCACACACTCAGCTACACCTCTACCGATATCTGTCCACTTTTTTTTATGGAATCTAGCATCCATGATGTCAATATTTCAATTAACATCATTGAATTCATTGAATCAATCCACGATCGTAAAAACATTAAATTGCTTTCGACTAATGCATGCTTAATTATTTTTAATGTCATTTCATTGCTTTTGCCTTTAATTTTCTTTATTCCTTAATTTGAGTTTGAGTCAATAATTATATTCTCAGATTACTGCTACTTTAGGTTAATTGTCTTCTTTATCGAAAGAATCTAATTCTACTAATGGAAACACCCCTAATATATAGAGTTTTAGTGAGAACAATTTTAATCATATTTTATGACTCTATTAGAAAGTAAAACAAGAAATTGTTTCCACAGCAAATTAATAAAAAAAGATTGTATTGTAAAAATATAAATTTTTTTCATTTATTTTTTATCGAATAAGCTCACTAAAAAACATTTGCGGAAAACAAATTCTCTCTTAAATATTGAAAAGCTTTCTTGTTTTTCATGCGAAAATATTAAGTACTTCCTCTGTTCCTATTTATATGTCATCAATTGAGATTTCACGTCACTTAAGAAACTAGGTAAGTTTACTATTGTACTCTTATTTAGTGTTCTCTTGAAGTCAAGTTTTCAATAAATGATATAAATTAATTTATTTTGATTAA